TTTCCTGTGCAGTATGCTGCTGACTCATTATGCTGCTGCACCCAGGTGAGTACAGTACTAATTCAGGGGCGAATAAAATGGGACTGTTCTTATATAGTATGTGCAAAGCTTCACTTTTCTTTCATTTCAGGTATTATTTTAATTTTTTAAATGAAAAGTGCTAAATAAATACAATTAAATATTGAATTAGTTGACCACATTCACATAATTGTTTAATGTGCCATATTCAACATTCTTTTGTAAATTGCTGGAAGATAAGAAGATTGTGGACTGAGATAGAGAACTTGTTGTCAAAACTATAATCTTTAACCCCTCATTTTGCTTTCTATCTCACATACCTTTATACAGTACCTAGATAATGATTCTTTTTCATTATCCTGCATAACTGAAAGTCAGGCTTTTTTCGACCATTACAACAGCAGGAAAAATCATTATTTATACATCTAAAAAGCTTGACAATAGAAACAAAATTGCCTCTTTTGAAAAGATTTGGACTAATGTATTAGGAGGTTTCCAACTCTGATTCTTAAACTTTCACATTATGTGAGTATACCTAGGTACAAAGGTTCTATATGTGTAGTATATAGTATGTGAAGACGCAGATAACATGAAATTTATACAGTACATCTAGATAATGTTTGATTTAAAAGGTACTAATTACTATCACCTTAAACACTTGGAATGAATTAATATGTGTATTTCTACTTGAAAATATAAGTTCTCGCTCTATTAACTAAGAGATGATAATAATATACCAATAGTACTGTATAATATAACAAAGTAATCAAAAATACAAGATAAACATGCTAATGGTAAACTGTTACCTTAGTGGCGTGGGATACAGTTCAGTGTTTGCAAAGTTTACTGTCTCATATCCTATTGCTATTGCAAGTCTCCCAATTATTACAATTGTTCTTTTGGCCCAGTTAAAATCTGAAAAACAAGACAAAAATATTAATAATTGAATATTGTACATAGAATTATGAAGTAAAAATAATGTTGCTTCTTTGGTACAACTTACTGTATACACATTGAAATTGCAGTCTGTGTACAAAATATGTAACAGAGCTAAGCATCAAGCTGTGTTTATGTCAATGGAGTTGGTTTTAGTACATGCTATGTTTTCAGCCAAATCAATATTAAATTAAAGGAACCCTTGTCTGTCTTATCAGGTTTTCACTTTGTACGTGGCTTAGTGGTGAAAAAAAGAACCTTTATCATAAATTCCCCTCAGTGTTGCAATTGACTTGCTATGTTCTTGTTGCTCTGATCATCAAAAGATGCAGCATGTGTTAAACATTGATAAAAAAGCTGTTCAATATTATTTATGGATGGTTTTTAGTATAGGTTTGCTTTAGTAAAGAGTAATGTGCAACACTCTTAAATAACCTTTAAATCAGCCAATTAATAGTTTTACAAATCTCACAATTACAGAATCTGAGAAATTATAGATTTTTAAAATTATATTTAATAACGTATAAATCATTCAAGTAAATTATAAAAATAAAAAACAAATTAATTATATTTGTAATGCTATTATCAAAAGACAGTAGTATAGGCTACAATAATATAATTTACCATTGATGTCCTCTTGGTATTAGCAAAAAGTAAAACCATATGTTTATTATATTAAACAGTCATCATTGTCCTGAAAGATTCATTTACTGCGCTGGGAAAAGTACAACATTAAACAAACTTACTCATATTCCTTATTAAAACATTTGTTCTATTAAGGAAATTTAGATTTTAATTTTTAAAACAATTTTTGTCATTTATTATCTGTTATTCGCTGTAGAGCTTCAGTTTAAATTTCACAGACCCAATAACTTGATTAAGATCCACCTCACGTAACTTTATTCTTTATTTTTTCTTAGAGAACATTATCTAATTACTAAATGCAGTTATTTGTACAGTATGTTTCATGAACCTTGACACTGGAATTATGCCATTGATAACAAGATAATGATCTGCTAACGAGAAAGGGTCGCTAATTATTATGTCTTTGAATATTTAGCAGATGTGGTGTTTGCTCTGTGTCCAAGAGCCCATATTGATTATAGATTAACTACTATTGTCTTCTATTTTAATGTAAAACAATACTGAATTATTTCTCTGCATTCATTGTCTTCCTGGATTGCTTGAAGTGTTTAATAGAAAACAGTCGGAATTGATGACCCAGTTAAAAAAAATAGTGTCATAAACATTCTTGCATTCTAACAGGAGTACAGTTGTAAATATTTTTTCATACTGTTTAATGGGGCCATGTAAACCCTTTTATTTTGTGGGATCTCTATGACCAAATCATTTCTCACTAAAATGTGTAATTTTTTTTTTTAACTTGACAGTTAAAAAGCTTACCGTTTGGAATAAAGGTGACTGTTAAGCATGCAGCTCCTCCAAAAAAGTTAGAAATTGCAAGCAGAGGACGCCGACCAATTCGGTCTACAGCCAGATAAAATATTAAACCAGTAGGCAGCTCCACAATTGCTGAGATAAAAAAATCAAGAAACCTGTTGCCTCCTGTGATTCCAATACGCATGACTAGACCTTGGAAAACCACAGCACTAGTAAACCTATTACAAGACAATAAAGATCAAACATACTTGATTAGAAATATGTGAAATTAAAATGTTATTAACATTCAATATTGTGAAGACACCGCTATCCTAGACAAAATGGCAGCCTTGCCTGATCTACAGTACATTACCCAGAGACCTTTAGGGAATGAGTTGTTGCCTCAATACATGAATTCCTGCTTAATCCTTAGAAGTCTATCTGACTCCAAACCTTATCAGCTTCAAAGTACAAGCAAAGCTGGATAGTAAGAGAATCAATAAGTCTATCCAGGAACTCGAGTTTTGTTTCATTTATTATTTTCTTTGTGATAACTGGTTTGATTTTCCCTGCAGTTTGTAAACAAACTGCACTGTTTAAATCTTAGGGCTTGTATTAGTGGTGTGTCTGTTGGTCAGGGACATGCCTAAATCAATAATTTTATCATCTTGTGACCTGTAGAAAGTAGTATCAGAAATGGTGGAGGATGAATGCATCCTATGAGCTGTATAGTGAAGTGCAAGGAAAAAAATCTGTCTCTCTCAGAACAAAAGGGATGTTTACCCTACAGTGGTTGAGAAATCTCATAACTTCCTTATTGCTGAAAACAGAAGGCGAGAAGTATCTTCACATGCTGTGTGCATTCCATTCACATTTATTGAAGCAGGCCAGGTTTTCCAGAGTGAATCTTTAAAGGGACAGACTCTTTTTTAAGAACAGCCCTTGACACTATCACAGATCCTGTCCAAGGGATGCACACACCAATTTTGACAACAGAAGAAACTTGCATGCGAGATGGTCCCATTCTGCCCTACCTGCTCGGAGTATAGACCTAGCAGGCAAGCTTGTCATTTTAAGAAGGGAGACCAAAAGCAAAAGATGGAGTCAGCAACAGGAGGGATGAAAGATGGGGAATACATCTTTGTGGAAGTCACTGACAATAATTTTATGAGTTCCTAAAGAGGTGCAGTAAGTCAAAGGAGCGCTGCCAAAAGCACAGATGGATCTGATTATCATTATGCCTGAGATTCAGGAAGTACCAAAAAGATAAGAAAAAAAAAGCACACCGAATCCGATGATAATGTGGAGAGGAGTTAAGTCTCCAGTTTAAAGGAGGAATGAGCACGTATCTGCAGTGCAATCTAGAGAAGGTCAAAATGCAGTTGAAATTGAAATCACCAGCCCCTGGAGGCCTAAAACTATTAAAGCACGGTTTAAAACAATCTACCAGCAAGACATGAAGATACAACTAGAAGAGGTGAAGGATGAACTACAGGGCACTAAAGATCCCAAGTTGTGACTGGAAGTTGATTTAGGAGGTAACCTATTCTAGCTCTGCCCAGGAAGTATTATGAGCAGCGTAAGGAGCTAGAGGCATCCAATAAAACAAGTGCATGAGCTGGAGACCATGCTGAGTAGAAGCATAGAATCTCGATGACTACCACAAACAAGAAGCTAAATAGAGATGAGGAGCTAGAAGGCAACCGAAAGATGCAACCAAAGGCCAAGACAAGGTTATTTGACAGATGCACAGGTTCTGTGCCAAGACAAAAATCTTTCACAGGGAGGAAGTGCTGACCACAGCCAAGGAAAGTAAGAAAAAGGCCAAAAGCCTAGAAGATGAGCTAATGCAATTATAGGAGGATACCAACAGAAGCAGCATGAGCATGCAAGCAAGCTGAGTCTAACAAGCAAAAACATTGTGTTTTTGGAAAAGACAGTACTGTTAGATGAGAAGTGGCATCAGGAAGCCAGAATCTCTAAACTGATGGCAGAATTGAAAAACAAGTAGAGCAACATGAAAATGGTCAAAGACAGCCTAGGGAGGCTTTAACAGACCAAGCAAGAAGCTCAGAAAAACAGAGGAGCTGACTTTACTGTAACAGTAGCTGATCATAACACAGGAATAGATAAAGAAACATACAGCAGAAGCAGCTGAGGCTTGAAAAGAGAGGCATCTCCTCCAATTACAGTTTGAGCTACAGGAAATGGGGAACAGACCTGAAGCCTACACTTGAACATTTAGCCCAAGAATGGAAAAGTGTCAAAATAGTCCAGGAAAAAGTTACTAAGATGAGATGAAACTGAGGGGAAAGTCAAGTCCTTTGTAAAGAGCAGCCAGTTAAAGAAGAAGGGCACAGCCCATAGGATAAAGGAACCATTGCTAGTGTGGAAGTTTGGAGAACTTGTATGGAGTATGGAGAAAGATCTGGATCTGGAGTGAGTGGACATGCTACAAAGTTAAGGAGAGAGATGGACCTACCAGTTCTTCCTATTGTAAACAAATAGGAAGAAACAGAGATGTGTGCATTTCTAGACCCTAATTATGATTTATGAGAAAGGGGAAGATCCTGCCTGAAAAATCTCTATTTGTGATGAAGAAGGTTGTTTAATACAGATAAGAAGGGAAGAAACAGAAAGAGAGCAAACAGAGAGCAATGAAAATGAACTCAGCAGTTCTACGACCCACCATGAAGAAGCCTGACAATCAAGAGGACAAAAAAGAAGAGAAAGTAATTTTTTAAATGTGCTCATATTACAGTACAGGTTGAGGCTTAATAGTTCAGACTGTATTACAGTATGCCATTACCCAGCAGCACCCAGGTTTTGTTAGGCATCTACAAAAAAATGCAGTATTTTCAGACAAAGCTACACTCACTCCTCCATTTAATGTTAATGTTATTGAAAGACACTATAGACTCTGCTCTGTGACAAACATTAGTGGAAGAAAAAGTGCAATATCACCTATTCAGTGCTCATGCAAATTTGCAGTATCACACTAAATAAAAATTAATTATTCACAATTGAGGGGAATACAAACAAATTACAATTCCATATAAAAAAGAGTTGTGATGCGATATCATGTATGTACTGTATGTACAGTACAATGGGTACAATGGGTGGGTTTCCTACAGGTGCTCCAATTTCCTCCCCCAGTAAAGACATGGAACGGGCAGTAGGTTAATTGGCTTCTGGGAACACTGGCCTGGTGTGACTTTTTGTGTCCCCTGTGATGAACTGATCGCTCCCCCCACAACCACGTATTTGATAAAGTAGTTAAAAAATTGATGGATGACTATTACAGTTTTAAATTCCAATGCATTCAGTAAATTTTAAAATATAAGAAAGATATTGTTAAGAGGCTTGCACTCTTTTTTAGTTGTGGTAAAAAAAAATTAAAAGTTTTAAATTTGGCTATTTTTTTCTTTGCATGTTTCATTTAATTTAACCACAAATATACTAAGTATACAATTAACTAAGTAAATCAAGCTGAAATTATTTACATGCAAATTTTGGAAAATCAAAAAAGGTGGAGAAAAAAAGATGTTGGCTTTTACCCAGTTTAAGGATCATACCGTATAAAAGCACATTTCTTACCAGGCATATATTAAAATGAATGTTTGTTTTCTCATTTGTGGGGTCCTGAATAAATCCATAACTGAAGGTTTATTGACTTGTTCAGGTTTCTCCTCCAAAATCTGTATCTGAAATAGAAATAAACTACAAACTGTTGATTTAGTTCAGGCTGTCTTGCTCATGTGGTTTGAAGAAAGGTACTGTAGGATTCAGTTCTCACAAACACTATACATTTCTGTATAGAGTAGCAGCAGATCTCTCATAGAACCTAAGAAATATGAGCCCTAATGCAGTCAGATAGCCCAGAGCTAGCAAAACATTTTGATTTTTTTATTTAATAGAGATGCATAAGGTGCTTAATTTTAGAGCTGCATGAAAAGAGTATTTCAGATGATTTACTGAGAAGTGTTAATACATTGGTTACTCTGTATACTGTATGTTGGTAGGTTCATCTCAGTTGCACAACCAAGTGAAACTGACTGTCATTAAATGTCATTTGAGCACAAGAAAAAAAATCATCACATCAAATAATCTGAGGCAGTCTGGGCCAAGCAGTGTACAGAAAAATACTGAAAAGTGGTGATTTACCACATGCAGACTAATCAGAAAACAATATGGTACTATCCTGAAGACAATCATATTTTCTACTGTGGATCAATCAGGGGAGGAATCATACGGTCAGGTAAATTATATTATATATTATATTCTAGCTAACCCTTTGATCAGTACTTAAATTAAAGCCCTCTAGGAATCTCTGAATTGAGCAATATTGAGGAATGCAATACAATGGAATTGTATGTGCATTTCTTCTTTTTGTGAGGGTTTTTGTGCATCTTCACAGTCAGCAGAACTCCTGTGATCTTATGATGGCCAGGTGGCACTGAGATGAGACCTCACAAACATTCAAGATGTCATATACTGTACCTCAGTGTGCTTTTCATGAAGTGATTTTCCATTGTACTTTGCAATGTCTTTTGCAATTTTCATGGCTTCTTTAGTTTTTTTTTGTGATAACAGCCAACGAGGAGATTCAGGAATTAACCTTGAAGAAACAATATGAAACTGTAAAATAAAATCTAAGTACTTTTATGGGTGAAACATTTGTTTAAATAAATATATTAGGGTGCATCAAAACAACATTAAATGAGCTTAGGTGGGTAGCTGCATCAACATGCATAGGCTATAAAGGAACAAGTAATACTGTAGGTTTATTCAATGCTGAAAAGAGAAGAAAGAAAACACAACATTTCGGCTGTGGAGCCTTCTTCAGGTGTGAGAAGAACACCTCACACCTAAAGAAGGCTCCACGGCCAAAACATTGTATTTTCTTTCATCTCTTTTCAGCATGGAATAAACCTATTACTTGTTCCTTTGCAACATTAATTGAAATTTACTGATAAATATTTAGTGCTAATCACACAAAAGATTTATATTGAATTCAGGATAAACTTATCCATATAGAACTTTGGGGGTATGCATTGAAGCTGTGAAATGTGATATTTCTAGTAAGTCTCCAGAATAAATAGCCTGTGTCTATTTAAACAGGTGTACCTATAGAATAACGCTTTTTTTAAATCATATTTTGAAATTGCAGCCGATGGTACATTTTTCTGCATTCATAAATCTTTGAACTGTATATTTCTAGTTTGTCATGTTCTGAACAATAGAATTGTTCATTATATTGTCAGAATACAATATAATATTTTTCCATGTATGGCCTCACACACTAGAAAGAGAAAAATATATTAATTTTTATTATTTATATCTTAGGTTTCAAATCACTTTTTAAAAAGTGTAACTTTCATGCAGACTTGAGAGGATGTTGGATGTTCTTATGAATACTAGCCACCAACTTTTGGTTAAATTCATAAAAAGTTATAAGATAGTAAATTCATCTTGGCATATATTGTGATACCAATTAATGTGTCTCAATGGACTGGCTGTGAAACAATCTTGAGTTTTGCAAGGATATGTTGGTAATACTTTATTTAAATTTTGTTGCATAAGAGGTAAAGGGCATTCATTTGACTATAGTTGCTATCCTGGTATGAAGAAGGTGCTAGAAATGATGCTAAAACAAACGTCATGACCTCTTATACACACATTATGTCATTTGTGCATGTCCCTATAAAGTATTATGAACGTGATTATGAAGCCATTATACAGCAACATTTAAATAGCCAAGATAATCAAGAATTTAAAGGCCTAATTAGCTACAGTATATACAGTATATATATTATAATATAAAAACACAGTAATTTAAACAAATGCCTTTTGGATCACAATGGTATCATTTTGTATTGCAGAGTATTGCCTTCTAAATGCCATGTCTCAAAGACATTGGTTTTTACAACATACTGTATATTGCTTTCATCAAAGGTTTGTGTGTAAGAAAATTAAAGCCTTCAGTAAATATGGTTAATACTTAGGGTGACAATTACCAGTAATAGAATAAAAAGAGAAAAATTGGAACTGTCATGGTGAGCTGAAGAGTCTTCCATGACTGAGTAAAATAGGATACTCCAGGAAGAATGGCCATCCCTGTTGAGTACAAACTCCGAGATACAACAGATACAAATTTCCGGTTATTTGATCCAAAAAATTCTATCACTGCAATAAAAGAAAAAGAAAGGTTTATTTAGGTTGTTTGTGCTGCTAAGATTCAGCTTAAAGTCCAGAGCACATATTCTGAATTACAAATGGGCTTTTGCTGATTGGCATTTAGTATAGGAATTCCCAAAAGTAGTCTTTTGGGTCCCCAGCTCTGGGAATATCTGTAGAAATATTTTGGAACTTTATAACAAGAAGTAGGAACTTTAAATCTTAGAGTACAAAATTGTTGCAGATTTCCTGTAGGAATTTACATTATATTTGGTAAACTGAAGTTTTTAATTTCTTTCTGCAATTAGTCCTTTTGATGTATCGTTGCATGGATATTGAGAAACAAAATTCTAATTACACTGTTCCACATTTGCTGAGGAATTACCTTTTTCAAAGCAAAATATAGGTAAATATAGTGATTAGAGCTCTAGACTCAAAACTGAAAGGTTGTGGGTTTTATTTTATTATATTATAATTACAATTACAATATATAAGTGTAGCCTTTAATGCAGGAAGATAAGTCAGGGAAGACAGACAGCCAATGATAAGTCTCACCTAAACAAATCTGAACTAGAAGATAAAAACAAAAAAATGTAATTAACATACCATAGAACCCAGTGACGCACTGTTTCAGGGCTGCCTGCTGGTGTTTTTTTAAATAAACAGGGCTTTGCAAGCTAGGGGTTGTTACGTGGCAGAAGGAACTGTATCAATTCCACTGTGGCATGCAGAGGCTTGCTACAATCTGTTTGTCTGACTGCAAAGATCCTGCAGATTTGACTCAATAATTGAGACTTAGGCACACTGCATCTTATTTTTTTATCTCTGGACTTTTCCTTTCATTCAATTAGTTAATTACCACATCAAAAAATAAACATAATCAAACAGTTCACTTAGAAATTGCCAGGGAAACAGAAACTCCCTAATCTACTTGTGCATTCAACATTCCTAATATGATTAAGGTGTATAATTTTGGTTATTTATTTGATGGTATGCTTACCAAGCACATATGAAGCCGTCCATGCTCCCTTTGCAAAAAAACCCTGGAACACGCGTAATACCAATAGCATTGCATAGTTTGAGGAAAATGCAATGCTCACTCCAGAGACACCTAACCCAAACATGGAGATAAGAAAACACAGTTTTCGCCCAAATCTGAAATAGAAAAGATGTGTAGAAGATATTTCAACACATCCATTTTAGATCAATATTGACTAAAAATTTTACTGTACCACAACTATTGTTAAAAGACATCATCTACATTAAAGATAAAGGGTCTGATGTACTGGACAATTGTGCTTGTTTTACAAGGTGCAAATGAGTTTGTAATACAAGGTCAGGAATTAAACAAGGTCTTGACCACAACTCTCCTCAAATAACAATTTTAGTTTTCCTTTAGGAAATTAAAGCAATAAAATGTAAAATCTTCAGCTTCTCCTCAGCCTTTGTTCAGAAATGGGAAATATACATATTACATGAATTTAAAGGTGATTTATATTATCAATTAACACAATATTTGGCCAGCATGATGTCACGAAGGACCCTATGCGGACAACACAATCTGGGGAGGAGTGAGGAAAACATGAGGAAAAAAGCATGTGAAGGGGCTGGAAGGAAATCAGGGGACATGTCCATGGTGCGCTGGTGTCTGAGGCAAACAGTCCAAGGGAGTCCAAGGCAAATCCATGGGTGAAGCAAAAGTCGAAGACCGGGTTATCCATCCTGACAGACAAACAGAGTTAAAAGCCGGAGCGAGATCCGGCAGAGGGTCAAGGGAATAAAAGGGGTAACGGGACCAGAAACTCCCTAGTCCCGGACTCAAAAGGTCAGGACGCTATGATGAAGCCTGTGGCGTCAAGTCGCTCCTGGAATCGCAGATAGGAGGGCTTCCGGGTGTCCATCTTCCAAAGCTGAGCCCAGATTGGCAGGAACGCCTGGCCTTTATGGCACGTGGGACTGGAACTGGAGGTAGGTGCGGGAGATGAGTATAAAACAAGGAATAATTTTGTGGAGGTTGTATGTTCTAGCCCTGCTCGTGTGGGTTTCCTCCAGGTGTTCTGGTTTTCTCCCAAAGGCATACTGGTTGGTTAATTCTCTTCTGGGAAAGCTGGGCCTGTTGTGAGTTTGTGTCTTTGTCTGCCCTGTCTAAGTTTGGCCTTTTCCTTGCAGTGGCCTAAGCTTTGAATTAAGGCGTTTTCAAAGGTCACCTGATCAGACCTCGTTGGGTAAAAGTGCACCTAATGAGATTTCATGTGATTGGCAAGTTGCAGCGCCTCACTGCATAAGCTGTATTGCTGGTCAGAGGACTTTAAACAAATTGATAACTTTTTGTGAAAGTACATAAGCTATAACTATAGTATTCTCATTCCAGAAAATGTTGTGTTTCTTTTTTTCATCAGTACATACAGTATATACTGTATATAACTATTGATTCATCTGCCCTTTTGCTTAAACATTTAATGTTTCTCAAATTCAAGACCCTAGAGCTGTGGGCCAGTAGCTCTACCCAAAACACTTTCATTCTACTAACATTTTCTGAAATCATAAATTAAATAAAGAATTAAAATCATAAAGAATTAAAATCTATTTTTAGTGTTCTGGCCCCAGTTCTTTTGGGGCAGATTATCCAACTAATTTTTTTTCATTTTTCAGCACTTCGATTAGATCCTAATGAATGTTATAATGCCACAATATACTGTATAATGTATACTGCATATTTTTAGATTATTTGGTGTGATTCACCTAGAGTACTTGAGGGAATGGCAACCTAACCAAGAGGACAGGCTTCCAAACCCCTTCTTATTTACCATCATCTGTCATTGCGTCTGTCATTCCCTGTAACAAAATACTTACCTATCTGCGATATAGCCTGTGACCAAAGCTCCAAGGAAAAATCCCCCTGTTAGAAAAGCTTGGTTCAGATCAGCTTTCCAAGAATCTGCACACACCAATGAGAACTGGAACACAGAGAAATAAACAAAATTATGGTAATTACCTACTGTAATATAGTTATGTATAAGTTTGGTAGTAGGGTGATTGCCTAGGGTTTTGTCAGTATTTATGTGCTAAATACCATTTTTTGCAAAAAGGAATTGAATATTTGTTAAGTCATTGTAAGACACCATCACCAGGAATTGAAATTAATTCAAAGACTTTGCAAAATATTTGTTACTCCTTTGAGGCAAAAGGCATGTGAAAATGTAGCAACAATAACTAATCTTATTCATTAAAAATGAACTGAAACTTAATTTCCAGTTGTCATTAGAAGTCACCTTTGATTATATAATTATCAGTCTATTTTTCAAGCGTTAGAGAGGGGACCCTGGATAGAGAATTAAGACCAATTTACTATAGGAGTGTTTTTTTAAATGCCGTTTTTTTGCCATAAGAACTCTGATGTTGGTTGCCTACATTATCTAAAACATGAAAACAATGTATCACCATAAACTCCTAGTCTTGATTGCTCTGTATATTATTTATAATGTGGACAGACATGTCTTTACACAGAATTTGTTTCATTTCCCACTTTTCTCTCAAACTCAATAAATGGATAAAACGTCTAATACTAGATGAAAGAGAGGAAGGAGCAGTCTGAAGTTCCTGAGGCCTTACTTACTGTACAAACTACAGCCCTTGGTAGTACATACCAAACCATCAGTCTAAAAATGCATGGAGGATGTAACAAATGTATTATTTTCTTAAAATAATCCAGTTTTAGTGCTTACAAAAAAGAAACAAAAACTTCAAACATAAAATAATGTAAATGGAAAAAATAATTAAATATCTGCAGAGTTTGCCTATTCCATCTGTCCAGAATAAATTATCTGCCTTACAGAATTATACATGATACAGCTATTATACAGATGAAAATATAAAAAGGCTATACTGTTTCTTTGTTTATAAACAGCCTCCTTTTTCAGGTCTAAAAGCAGATTTAAATTCCCCTATAGCTTCTTCTGATTGTTTTATTGCTAATTCTAAAGAAGTCCATTGGGTTGTGTTTGTCACTGAAGCCTATGAAGATTTTGAGGACTTGAATCATGCCAGCTCTTTTCTTTTCTAAGAGCCCAATGAAAGACACCTGCTAATTGTGTTGACAAAATATTTGTGATGAAAATAAAAAAAACAAATGTTTATAGCATTTAAATAAAAATGCATTGTTCCTAATGCATGATTAACATTTTTTACTTTGTTAATACTGAATGTAAGAATGCAGTGTTTAATTGGAAATTTTAAATAAAAGTCAATAAAATTGATGCAATTTCATTCTAAGCTTTGAATAGATGTGTGAGTAACATGTTGCTTTCACATTGAAAACATATGTGGTATGCTGACTATGAAAAAGTTTCCTTTGATTTTTGCAAACTAAATTAAATTATCAATTAATTTTAAACACATTAAAATACTATGTTCATCTCACAAAGATTGTAAAGATATAAATGTTATATTTTTCAGAGTAAACATATTTGAGAAACAGAGCTTGACATACATTTGTACACTAAATGACCCAATTACAACTTTAAGTTTAGCATTCGAAGACCAGCATCTATGCTTCTGTAGCATAGATTGGCAGTCTATTACAGTATGTATATGAAATATGCAACAGGTTTCCACATGCATTAAATTAAATATTTCTGGCTTTTTTATTGAAACTGAAATGTTTCTAATTGTATCCTGAAAAGATCTAATTGTTAATCTTCATGCTCTCAGGATGATCCTTCTTGCAATGTACCAAAACAATAACACTGTAAATTCTACAAATATACTTGTCTACTTTATTGATGATTGTTGGCTTCATAACATCTAAAGATCATCTAGAATTTTCTCATCATACCGGGACCTCAATATGGAGTGCTGATGCAAGCTCTACTCCTCTTCAGTCTTCAGTAGGAACTCATGTGTTCTGACATCTTCAGACTATTCCCTCCCCAGTTCCAAATGAAAACTCCATATGTACAACTTTAAGAATGGATCAGGCCTGCTAATACTAAGGAAGATAATTAGTTAGCTGTCAATCATTGAGTGATTGAAGATTCAGGCTTTGACTCTGAATTGCTCTTACGCCAAAGCTGTGCCATAGAATAAAAAACTTGCATGCCTGAGCTCACATGTCTCAAATTATACCTACTGTTTGACTCGTGTATTAAGGTTTATTTATTTATTTATTTATTTATTTATTTCCTGCCTCTTCCTATTTTGTAACAATAGATTCTCAGAAATAAAATAATAATTCCCACATAACATTTATCATTAAACAAATGTTAGACACTGAGCACCGTATCTTATGGTCCTGTATCTTGCTCTGTTCATTTTAATTGTAGTCATTTTTCACATTTGTGATGAAATACACTGAAAGGACATCTACTTTGAACTTGAAAGGTGGCTTCTTTCATATTCTTACAAGCTTTTGTGTAAAGAATTGTTTCCTGTTCTCAGTTTCAGTTTTAAATGCACACAGTTGCTGTTTGTGTTCTCTGGTCTATGTTTCACTGCTGATTCTGACTTCCCTATTATAAGTTATGTATTTTACAGTATCATTAAATTCTTGGGCATATGTTGATGTTTTATTACATGTGTTGACAGTCTTATAACAATAACTAGAAAGGCCAGTTTCTAAAAGATGTATTTCACCAGGCCAAAGCTACACTGGAGTGGTTTAGAGTGAATGTCCTTGAGTAGCCCAACAAATCTCCTGACTTTTAAAAAAAATATGTTACTTGAAAATATAAGACTTGAAGATCTGGCATAGTTGCAGTGATTTGTATTACTGCCTCGCAGCACATGGGTCCTGGGTTCAACTCCAGAAATGAGGGTTTACCTGCATGGAGTTTGTATTTTCTCCCCAGGTTTCCTCCCACACTCCAAAAACATACTTGTAGCTTAATTAGCTTCTATGAAAACAGGTCCTAGTGTGTGAGTATGTGTGTGTCTGGCTTGTGTCAGTCTCTGGCTCCTCTGCAACCCTAAATTGGAAAAAGCAGATAGAAAATGGATGGATGGACTTGAAGATTACTGTTAATCAGTGGCTCCCAACCACTGTGACAGAACTTAAGAAAGTCAGCAAAGAAAAATGGGCAAATATTTCACCACCTGGTGTGTAAAATTTGTAGACACCCAAAAATAATTTAATAATTTTTTAAACCAAAAGTATTTTAATGTCACAGGCAAAACAGCCCTGATCCAAAATGTCAGCACCAATTGGGGGAAAGGCTTCTCATTCCTTTCACCACTTCAGATAAGCAGCTCTTCGATCTCTATCTCTCTACACCCCACAATAAAGAACCAGCTCCACGGAGACACCATGATACAGTATCTGCTCTTTTCTTCTGGTTCCTTCCCCAGAGCTCTGCACAACCTAGCCACCAAGGCCTCTTCCTGTTCCCCCACTTCTCTTGTGCTCCTTTTCTCAATCCCTGCTTCATCCACTCTCTTCCTTCTCTCCACACTTCTGCCATGTTACAACATATAGTACCTCTGGTATTTTGTCTTTTCTTCTTCTCTGATCCTGCTTACTGAGTTTGCTTGAGTACTCATGCCCTAGTCACAACTAAAAGGTTCCATTCTCACAGCCCTTCTCCCCTTCACCCTTCCCCAGGCTCTTATTTCCTTGATGCGCAGCCTGTCAAGTATAATGATCTCCTACTGACCCTCAAAGACCAATTCTTTGGTGTTTATTATTGGGGCTTTCACCTGGAATCCATGGCAAATAGACTGGAAAGGTCATGATGCTTACATTAATTTCTTCAAGTTCAGTTCTTGGTTATTAGCCCTCTCTATTATGATTACTCTTTTCATTTTTCTCTTCACTACCCATTCCAACAGTGCCTCCACATTTGGCTAACCAAAGACAAACCTGGTGCTAATAAATTTAAGATGACTCTTTCTGGGACTGCTCAGCATCTTCCACAGCCGATCACAGATTCCCAGTCTATTTCAATCTAACCCTAGCTGACTGGTGTTCCTCCAAAACTACTTCACATACTGAATATCAGAACTGACTCCATCAGGTTATGATTTGGTTGCCATTTCCTCAACCAGAGTTACGCCACATAGATTTTAAGTACACTATCCTTATAACCTTCAAATTAAATAGAGTTTGACCAAACTACAGAATGGTTGGAGAAAGTTCTAATGTTATTACTAGATAGATTGCTTTGTATCATAGAATACTTTATCATAATCATTCTAGTGTAAGAAAATGAATTAAAATGTTCATATTACAGCACAGTATTTCAATACTTACTATGGGAATAATAATAGTTGTTATTGGAAGTGAATGCAGTCATTAAACCTTAAATGTTAAAATACGTTATTTAGAAACTCAGCAGAAGGGTAACAACTGCATAAATGTGACTTCAATTTGCATGGAATAGTAGTATTATTATTAATAGTTAATTTGCACATCCATTTTCTAACTGTTTCATTCAATTCATGGTCATGGCAGAGCCAGAGCCCATCACAGTAAGTAACATGCACAAGATGGACATCAGACATCAGTCCATCAAAAGACAAACAGACATACTTCACACACTCACGCCACAGTTTTACCATAAGCCAGTTAAGCAACAAGTATGTCTTTGTACTGTGGGAGAAAACCATAGCACCTGACGAAAACCAATTGGATCAGGGTCAGAACATACAGCACAAACTTCACTAGAATAGTACACCAGCACCCAGAAACTAAACCGGCAGTACGAGATAGCAATGCTAATCATTGCACCACCATGCTGCTCCATCTGTATACTGTTTCAAAATTTTACTTTACTTTACTTTATGTTAAAATTGTATATTTTCTACATACTGTAAAAATAAAATCAGTAGTCACTTGATCGGGTACATTTCATTGGATAAAAGAAAATTGGAATAGATGTAACTGACATTTTTAGAAGTTGGGACCAGAGCCTGCTGTTTTCCATGTGTTTAATGTTTCCACCATAAAATAAAATATGTGATGCTTTTATCCAAAGAACTCTAAGTTTGTATGAATTTATAAAAAAAAGAGCACTTAATCAAGCTAGATTTTAAACCCATTAAAATTTCAGGTATGATTTTAGACCTGATCTACACTGTTACTTATTAGATTTGTTGTTTTTGTTCATTTATAGTGCAGAAGGACATGTTACATTTGATATTTCGTGCTTGTTTGATGTTTAACCATCAAACATTATACATACTACAAATTTATGCACCTCACACCTGAGAGGATAAAAATCTATTTCATGGCATATACAGTATTATATAACTGCAAGTACAAAATATATATAACAGTAATTTATGCTAAAACCCCACTAACATGGAGACATTGATGAACGTGATGTAAAGCATTAAATCAGATGAACACAATTATTTTGCTTCTAGTATGACATTAACTATGAAAGATTAAATATTGTGGATACGATTAAACATTTAACATCCAATAACCATCCATCCATTTTCAAACCACTTTCTTTGATATGAAGCGGGATACAATCTGGACAGAACACCAGTCCATCCCAGGCCACAAACACACACACAGACACATACACTCACATCTGGGCCAATTTTTCCAAAAGGAAATTTAAAGACAAACAAGTTGAGACATATTAATATGTCTTTGGACTGTGTGGGGAAACCAGACACCTGGCCGGAACCCAGGCAAAAACAGGGAGACCTCCACACAGCTAGCAACCTTGTAATTGAACATCAAGTGATGTGAGGCTGCAATACTAATTACTGTGGCACTGCACTGCCTTAATAACCAATATGCTTTGCTTAAACTGTAAAAATCATTGTGAGGCATTTAGTTGCTTCACGCAGGTGCGGAAATGAACCTATACACTCCCTTAATAGAATATTTAATGATTTTGTGTTGAAAAAAGTATTTAAAATCTAAAGAAATCTTAGGAGTTATTATACTTTTGTAGATCTTACATATTTTGTGCTTACATCACTGCTTAACCTCCCTGAAAGACACTTAGGCTTCTAATAACAATTCCCTAATGTCACAATACCTTCTCTATATATCAGAGCTCCTACCTCAGTCACAACTGTAGTATATGATCTGTCAAACTCCCAGTCCCTGTCGCATGTAGTGATGAGAATTTGCTGTGAGTAGTTAGCAGAGGACAGTGCGAGAGGTCTTTGGCAGGTGAGATCAGTGCTGTTCCAGTCCACATTGAACCTCTCACACTGTCTGAAGGTCCCCTTGTCAGTTCGTGGGACTGTGTAGTTTTTCAGATCCTCATAGGACCAACCACACTTTTCTTTCAGTTCTTGCACTTCAGGATTCTGACACCAGTGTTCTGGAGTGTATCCATAGAAAACAATCCCAACAAGTACAAAAGCAAAGAGAGTCACTGGAAGGCACCCTAAAAGGGAAATCCTTTTCTGATATGGCCCAAAATCTCCTATGCTCACTAACAATTCATCAAATGTGGGCATTGTGTCCTGTCCTGCAGAGATCAGCGTTCTACTGTGAAGCTTATAGTGAAAGACAGTGAGAGAGAGCTATACTGCTGATGAAGATTGTCAGTGTCTGTGAGCTTCCTGGCAGCATTGCTGAAAGGGGAGGGGATTCCTGTGGGGCAAAGTTCTTGTTATTCCTCCTCATAAGAGGAGTTCCAGCCTTCTGCAAAAGGACAAGGAAGTATTTTCTGGAATTAGTCAAACTAATGTAAGTAATATGCAAAATAGCTAACTTTATAATGGAGTAGGGAGTGCTCATCTGTGGTCTGTGTGGGTCCTAATGCCTCAGTATAGTGATAGGGACATTATACTGTAAAAAATGCTCTGTCCTTCAGGATATGACATAAAACCAAGGTACTGACTCTCTGTGGTTGTTAAAAATCCCAGGGCATTTCTCGAAAAGAGTAGGTGTTACCCTGGTGCCTTGGCCAAATTTCCCACTGGCCTTTACTAGTCATGGCCTCCCAATAGTCCCTATCTGTGATTTGGTTTTATTACTCTGTTCTCCTCCCCACTGATAGCTGACGTGTGGTGAGTGTTCTGGGGCACATTGGTTGCTGTTGTACCATCCGGGTGGAAGGAAGTCCCCATTACCAGTTCCAGATAGGTACTATATAAGCGTAGGAATTATTATTATTATATTAAGAATATAAAGTATAAAGGGAATGTCATCAACAAAACTACAAACTCTCTGTGATAGAATTCCACTGTTTAGATGTAAAGCAGGTTTCTCAGTGTTTGAGTCTCTGCCATGAAATCTTGCCTTAAAACTTATTAGACCTGGCATTCCTATACATTTTATAAAGAATATTGTGTATAGTCTTTTGTTTGATTCTAATTATTTATATTTTACGTTTTATTGTACAGTACTTTGGGATATGTGTTTTGTTTTTAAAAAACAAATAAAATTATTTAATCTGTGATTATTTGCAAACCCGAATAAAACAATACGCAAATGGTATTGGACAGCATGGAGTCTCATTGGTCAGCATTACTGTCTCAAGGTGCTAGGGCCCAGAGTTCCTATGTTTTTTTCTCTCTTTTTTTCTCTGCACAATCCAAAGACAAACTGGTATGTTAAGGTGCTTTTAGGAAAAATGGCATGGTATGAGGCTCTGTGAGTGCCTTGCAATAGACTGGTGTCCAGTCCAGGGTGAATCCTGCCTTGCGTTCGTTGCTTGCCAGGATAGGCACTGGCTCCCCTGTGACCCTGAATTGAATGAAGTGGTTAGAAAAAATGGATAGGTAACTCAGGTAATTGTCTATAAACTCAGGTGGACATCAAATTATAACCCTGCACATCTGCTCTACTATATATAATGTTAATATTCACTGGCTGCCCAAAACTGTGAATGCACCTTTCCAGCCCTTGGAGTTTCAGTCTTGTCAGAGACAGATGTCATTCAAACTCTGCGGTGCGGAGTGGAGTTATCTTCTAACTTTTTCATGAAGAAGCAGCTCTTTAACCTTAAATGTAATCAAAAACAACTGGCTTTTTGCACCTACCATGCTGTGTGCTCTTTTCTTTCATTTCTACTGATGTTGTTAACTCAGTTCTCTTCCTCTTGAACCATTTTCTCCCTTATCCCCATTTCTCTTTTTTTCTGGTTGATTGTCCAACCCCAACTTAACTTAGTTGTTTTGTCTCTCCCTTTTCCCCAATCATCCTTTTTGCTGTCTCATTCACTGCCCTTCGCCATTCCTTGCCATTTAGTTTTTTTCTATGACAATACATAGCTCCCCACTGATGTTCAGTTCTTTCCTCAAGCTTCATGCTGTGAATGTAGCTGAAATTTCAACTTCACCTTAAATCAGCTCTCTCAGTTCTCCAACTTCAACTTCAGTTCTATCTACTTTCAGCAAATGACAACTTATTAAGAACTCTAGTTCATATCCTACTTCTGCATGATTAAAGTTCACCTACGGCTATTCTTTCCAGGTTGCCACAGTTTTTCCTCTGTTGAGTTCCAATCTCAAGTGACCTAGGGTTTGGATGCTGTACTTTTGTCTTCACTGACTGCATTCCATCAACTGTATCATACACATTTCTCATTCACTTTTTTCTCCTTTGGTGTTCCTCTGAAACAGTGCAAAATCTGCTTGATTAAACAAAGTTCAAGACTGCATCTACACTATAGAATATGTAACTTCATTCTTCGCATTCACCCCACGCTAAAGAACACATTATCTAAACTCTTCCTGCAAAACTTTTCACTAAATATTCAACTGTTGCAAACAACTCTGTGCATTTTTTTTAGTTCTTCTTCACCGCAGCTGTACCCTGGTCTATTGGCAAGGACTGCCACTTGCTCAGCCAGGCATATACACACCCGAAACATTGTGTTTCTTCTCTTTTCAGTATGGAATAAACCTTTAGTTGTTCCTTTGCAGCCTGCACATGCTTGATGCAGCTACCTACTTGAACATATACTGTACAGTACATATATGATCTATCACTGAGTCACAGTTTAGTATTTACAGTATTTCCCATTAAATTTTCAGTTGAAAGGATTTTCATTTGTCATATTTGTTCTGAGATCATTTACTGATTGATGAATAAATGTGTAGGTATTACATTTTGTCAGATATTTTAGTGTCACTTAAACCAAGGCCTTGGATGTTCCTTTTTTAATTTAGTTGTACGTGCAACTTGTAGGAGTTTGATTTCATATGGACTTCAAAAGGTCGTTTTGCAAATGTGTTCAATTCAAAACTGTTATTTGGCTTTTTTAAACATTAAAACAGTAAAAGAAAAACATATGGACCAATCTTTTTTCCCATATTTTTCTGACAGGCACACAGGTAGCTAACATGTCTTATCAGTTAATAGAAAATGTACTGTAAAAGATACAACTGTAACGATATTTCAAGAGAATGGAAATGATGTGCAAGTGATTAACAGAATCATTACAGATTGTGATGTCAGATTTAACTGCAGTACCAGTGGTCAGAAATAGAAATTTAACATAAGATATATACACAGTAGTAGTACATGTAGTACCGTGGTTGAAAATGGAAGACTTATTTTCTCAGGCATGATTAGTGGTGAAAGTAAAATAATAGTGAGATACTATATCTACCCTACAAGTCTACCTGGCAGCACTGTAAATCACCTGCACATTGTACAAAAGGAGAATTACTGTTTAAAGTTTGAGATTAAAGGTAGTAATTCTTTAAGTTCTAAATTTCTGACCTGGTCCAGATTTAATTAGTTATAATTTTATAACTGGCAAACACATTACTGGCAAAAAATGGAATTGTTTTATAATTTCAATAATAATTAAAAAAGCATTCAAAATAATTTGAAGTTTATATATACTGTAGTGAGCTTTTTAAAGCTACAATAACAACCACACTTCGAAAACTGTGGAGCATTTACATTTAATATTACAGATGTAGCTGTAATATTTTCTAAACTGGATTCTTTTCGTGAATTTGTTTAAATTATGTTATGTTTATTTATTCACAGTAGAATAACACTAGCACAAGTTTTTTTTTTCCACCATATGATACGCTCACATAATGGTGTTCATTTGGTGCTTTGAAATTTTAGCCATAGATTTTTAAAAAAATGTTTTAGTTTATTTTGCTTTTTTGAGTTTTCTGGATGAACTGCCTCATAATTTCTAACCTTGAAAGCCTGTCAAATTGTTTAAAATGGATTATTAAAGTTATTAATCTAGTTATGGTTGAAATAGACTTGGCTGCACATGTCTGTAACTGTTTTGAAGGTAAGGCAGGAAATTTATTTTAAGGGCTCTGAAACCTGCTTAACAAGAAGCACACACAAATGGAAAACAATAAATCTGTCAAGCTTAGAAAACATAACAAATTTTAGAATAAAAGTATTTATAGTTAACTTTTTGAAAACTGTTTCAGATATTTTTTATGTATGCCAAGAACAGATTATTTTAAAACTATAGTTTTATACAAACTTTAATTCTGCAAGGTGCCCCTGTAACAAGGGCTCAGTGGCACAAGTCATGTTACAGATGTGCTGTCAACCCTTAAATCCTAAACACTTCAGAATTCTACTGCAAGTGACCATGATTGAATCCCTGCAGGGGTAGGGCAACAACACTTGTCAAAACCTTCACCCAGCTCAAATTAATTGTTCAGAATTCCTGACTGGAGGAGTGGGTAAGCTGTTGCAGTTCCCTTGACCTACCTGTACTGTATATGCTTAAATTAGGTTGCTCTCATAATTCCAGGTCTATACATGGATATGAATCTCTGTAAGCTTTTGTCATTTACATACATTAATCTAAGAGGAATATTATACAGGATAAGCAGTAGGTTTGGTTTAAAGACATTATCAACAGATTGCACAATCTTCAGTTTAAGAAAATACAGTGTGTCACACATTCCTAACCTTAATAGCTCCTGTTCACAGTTATATGTCTTTACCCATATACATTACTTTTGAGAAAATTATTTAAAATATTGAAAATAGAAATAAGTCGTGAGACTTTTGAGCACTCCAGGCAAGTTCAATAAATCTATATCAATCTATATCAATTCAACATTCAAATATTTATTCAAGTACAAATATCTGAGTCTTAGCAAATACAGTACTGTATATGAGGCCTCTCAAAGCCATCTGGATGATTTGTTTGCTTATTTGGTACGTGTATGGTCATATTTAGTTCTAACCACTAAATGCAATATGTGATAAGAGCATTGCTTAAATATGTCAGTATCAATCCATATAAGTTGATTCCAATGAAATACAATACCTATATATATGCATTATGGATATAAATAGGAATTATTTAATTATCAAATTCAATTTAGCTTTGGTTATAATACATATTTGTTTATAGTAAGTCAGTGCAAGAAGTGAACGGTTTCTCTTATAATTACCAAAGATGTAATTTCATACTGTTAGTATGACAACTGTAGTACAACCTGGACTTATTGACTTTGTGGACTCTTCATGAAAAAACAAGCTGGAAACAATGCCTCTAACACCATGATTGATATCCTTCACATGCCATTATACTAATAGAATTTATATGCAGTATAAAAATATTGCTAAATAAAACATCATCTAGAGAATGTTAATATATACTGTATATTTAATTTATA